TATATATATATATATATATATATATATATATATATATATATATATATATATATATATATATTATATATATATATATATATATATATATATATATATATATATATATATATATATATATATATATATATATATATATATATATATATATATATATATATATATATATATATATATATATATATATATATATATATATATATATATATATATATATATATATATATATATATATATATATATATATATATATATATATATATATATATATTTTTTTTTTTTTAATATTATATGTTATTATATTATATTAAAAATTATATAAAAATTATATGATCTATTTTGTTATATTAAAATTAATTATATTATATTATTGATTATATTATATTATATTATAATTTAGTGCATTATATTATAATTTATTTATTATCCTTTATATTATATTATACTTCAAAATATAATAAATTATATTATATTAAATTATATTTTATTATCATTTATATTATATTTTAGAATTTAGTATATTATATTTTATTGTTTTTATTTTAATTTATTATATTATATTATACATTTTATTATATTATATTATATTAAAAATTATATTAAAAATATATTATATATTTTGTTATAATAAAATTGATTATATTATATTATATTATATTGTTTTTATTATAAACAATTATATTATAATATATTATAATTTATTGTATTATATTATAATGAATTTATTATCATTTATATTATATTATATTTCAAATTATATTATCATTTATATTATATTATATTATATTATAATTTATTATATTATATTATATTATAAATTTTATAACATTTTATTATATTATAAGATATTATATTATATTATTTTAAAATTATATTATATTATATATTTTATTATATAAAAATTGATTATATTATATTTTATTTTACTGCTTTATGATAATTAATTATATTATATTATATTATATTATAATTTGTTGTATTTTCATTTATATTATATTATTCATTCATTCATTTTCTTGTCTGCTTAGTCCCTTTATTAATCTGGGATCGCCACAGTGGAATGAATCGCCAACTTATCCAGCAAGTTTTTTACGCAGCGGATGCCCTTTCAGCCGCAACCCATCTCTGGGAAAAATATTTTATTATATAACATTATAATTTAATACATTATATTATAAATGTTGTCAGCTATTATATTATAATAATTATATTATTCTTCATTTAGCTGCATAATATTTTGTTTTACATCACGATAACAAACTATTTAAGAGCAAAAATATCCTAACATTTTTGTGCAGCGACAAAATATTTAAAAGACGATAAAAAAAGCATTTAAAAAAAGAGAAAACTTTGATTATTAGTTTAAAAAAAAAAACATTTTCTAAATTTTTATAAAACATACTAAAATATCAAATCATCTATTAAAGGGACTAAGCCGAAAAGAAAATTAATTAATGAACGAATGAATATCAAATTATATTATAATACATTTAAGTGTTACAAATATAATTGTTAACCACAGTAATAAGTAATACGCATGTGACTGGAGATTCAGGATTGAAGCTTCCCATAACTTTTTTATTTATTTAGTCCATTATGCCACCTATTATCTTGTGTGTCGTGCAATCAACACATTTCTATCTATATTCATTTCATATATTTAAGCATTATGTAATCAGTGGATGAAGGATGCTTGTCAGGCCTAATGGGTGTCCAAACTCGGTCCTGAAGGGCCGGTGTCCTGCGTATTTTAGTTTCAACCCCAATTAGACACACCTGGGCTACCTAATCAAGTTCTTTCTAGGTACTAGAAACTTCCAGCCAGGCATGTTGAAGTAAGATGGAGCTGAACCAGGGGTGGGCAAACTTGGTCGTGGAGG